ACAAAAATAAATGTCACAAAGAAAACAGTTATGATTAATTTCAGAGAAACCATAGACCCTTTGTTCTATTTTAGAGAAGCTAAATGCAGTTTGGCTTTTACATGAACATCATCCTGAGTTGTTTTGCTTATTCGTTTGTTTCTTTGTTTTCTTGAATATATCATTAAAATCTTTTTCTGGCATGTATTATAAAAAATGAAAAAAAGACTGTATATATATATATATAAAGAAAATTTTAAGACAAGTATTTGGCTAACCAATTTAAAGAGATCTCTCATTGTTAGATGCCACCAAGTTGGTTCCAACTCATATAGCAACCCTACATACAACAGAACAAAACATTGCCCAGTCCTGTAATGATTGTTGTTATATTTGAGCGCATGGATGTAGCCTCTGTGTCAATTCATCTTGTTGATAAAGGTCTTCCTAGTTTTTTGCCCATCCCCACCCTCAACTTTACCAAGCATGCTGTCCTTCCTCAGGAACTGATCTCTCCTAACATATGCAAAGTATGTGAGACAACAACTCACCAGCCTTGCCTCTAAGGGGCATTCTGATTCTTCCATGCTTCTTCTTAAACAGATTTACTTGTTCTTTAGGCAGCCCATGGGACTTTCAATATTCTTCATCAGCACCACAATTTACATGCACTGATTCTTCTTTGGCTTTTCCTTATTCAATGTCCAACTTTTTTCACATGCTTATGAGGTAACTGAAAAGACCAGGGCTTTATTCCTCAAAGTAACATCCTTGTTTTTCAACACTTTAAAGAGGCTGTGCACAGCAGAGTTACCCCATGCAATCCGTGTTTTGATATCCTGGACGCAGGCTGCTACCTCTATGAGTATTGACTGTGAAAGCAAGCAAGACCAAATCCTGGACAATTTCAACCTTTTCTCCGTTTATCATTCTGATACTTACTGGTCCATTGGGAAGATTTGGGGTTTCTTTACATTGACTTGTAATCCATACTGAATTGATCTTCATCAGCAAGTACTTTAAGCATGCCTCTCTTTCAGCAAGCAAAGTTGTGTCATCTGCATATAGAAGGTTGTTAATAAAAGCCTTTCTCCAATCCGGATGCCACATTCTTCTTTATATAATCCAACTTCTCTGCAGGTTTGCTCAGCATACAGATTGAATAAGTAGAGGTGAGAGGATACAAAACTGACGCACATCTTGCCTGATTTTAAACCATTCTCTTGCATTCTCTTTTTCTGTTTGAATGATGGCTACTTGGTTTATGCACAGGGCAGTTGCATATCAGGGTTGTATCCTTAGGCCATATTGATTCAAACTATATGCTGAGGAAATAATATGAGTCACTGTACTATATGAAAAAGAATGTAGCATCAGTTTTGAAGGAAGACTTATTAACAACCTGTGATATTCAAATGATAGAACTTTGCTTTCTGAACCTGAACAAGAAGTTGAAAGACTACAGTCCTCAGTGCTGAACACATTTTGACATAAAACAAACACCTCACAACTGGACCAATGTATAGCATCACCATAATAGGGGAAAGATGAAAAATATCATGGGTTTTACTATACTTGGGTCCACAATCTACAAACAGACACAGCAGTGAACAAGTCAAAAAACTTGCAGCACTGGGAAAATCTGCGGCAAAGGACATCTTTCACGTGTTCAATGATGTCACTTTGAGGACTAAGGTGATTCTGACCCACGACATGCTATTTTTAATGACTTCTTATGAATGTGAAAGCTGGACAATGAATAAAGAATACTGAAGAAAAATCGATGTTTCTGAGTTATGCAATTGGCAAAGGATATTGAACATTCATTGGATTGCTAGAAGAACAACCCTGTCTTTAAAGAGGGGTGGATACTTTGGTTGTAGAAGAAATCATAGCAAGACTTCATGTCATCTATTCTGGACATGCTATCAGGAGAACCAGTACCTGGAAAAGACTATCAAGCTTGGCAAATTAGAGGGTTGTACCCTCAGTCAGTGAAAAAGACAATGACCCTTAATCAGATGGATTGACCAAGTGACTATAAAAATAGGTTCAAACATGATAATGAGTGTTAGGATAGCACAGGACACAGAAATATTCTAGTCTACTATATTTAGGGCCACTGTGAGTCAGATCCAACTGGATGCCACTTAAGAAGAATATACATATGTATTCTTAACATACATATAACATAGGTATATATTTATATTTTACATATATAAACACACATATAAACACATTTATATACATATATAAAATGTTGCTTCGAGGACATGCATGACTCTTTTCCAAACCACACAAGTTTTAACCTGTGATAGATTTGTTTTAGTCTCCTTCGGATGTCTTCTCACAAACTAAAGTTCAATCCAAGCAATGCGAGACTTGCTCAAATAATGATAGTGACTGTTTTTGTGGGGATTCCATATGGGTGATCTTAAGAGATTTTTTCTCAAAGGCACAGGAAGAAGATAGCTTACTTTGAAGAAGTTCTAAAAAAATTAAGGCTTCATTGGCAAATAAAAGTCCAGGAATGTTGTGCCAATGATTTATTTTTTTCTCTTCATCATGCCAATGCACTGGCTCATTCTTTCAGGGTAGCAAAGGCTGTCCTGCAAGTTTCATTGGGAAACAACACCCACCCACCCCCACTCTATGGTGCTGACCTTGCACCTTTAGATTTCTTTTATTCACAACTCAAAACTCAAACCAACCC